GAGGCGTGGAGGCGTGGAGGCGTGGAGGCGTCCAAGCCGCGAAGCCGCGAAGCCACGAAGCGTCGAGGCGTGGAGGCGTGGAGGCGTGGAGGCGTGAAGGCGTCGAAGCCGCGAAGCCGCGAAAGCGTCGAGGCGTGGAGGCGTGGAGGCGTGAAGGCGTCGAGGCGTCGAGGCGTGGAGGCGTCGAGGCGTCGAGGCGTGGAGGCGTCGAGGCGTGGAGGCGTGGAGGGCCCGTTTCCCGAACCCATGTCCCCATACCCTCTCCCATGGTACTGATACATATATATAGTCAGAGATAGATGATATGTGAGAACCATGTATTTTTCAATGTTTTCTTCCAATCTCACTCCTCTCCCAGACACACCTCATGATGCAGAATACGCACTTTCGTTCCCAAACGAAATGAGGCCCCCTAGCTAAAGCTATATAGCAATGAGTGCATTGTTATCGTTTAACGCCTCAGCACCTTTGGTGCGGGCGGATACATTTTCCTGCCCGTTTCCTTCCTACAGCGTGCGAAGCCAGAGGGGCTTCGTTTCTATCCGTTTTGATCCGTTTCGTGTTCTTTTGTGTCCTGTTTTCTGAGGCTCCTTCTGGGCCTTCAATCTTCTGCTGTTTTTCCACCTGTTTGGGCTGTGTTGTATTTGTTGGCCGGCTGGGGGTTCTTTCCTGGAAAAAGCATAGACGCCGGACAGCAGCACGCACGTCATGTCCGTCCTGACCCTTCAACCCTTGACAAACACAAGAGTGTTGCTCCTATTTGTGTTCCCTTCGTGTTTTTCTTTTGCACTTTTGTTCTTTTTTCCCTTTCCTTTTGTTCTTGCTCTCTCCCTCTTTCACCCTGCATGCGGAGCCAAAGGTTGCTATATTGCATGATATTTTCGCAATTGCTGTGAGCCACACATTGGTTTTGGTCATGGAAGCAACCACGCAATGCTTTGGTTTTTGCCGAAAGCAAACAAACATGCAGCACTTGACATCCAGTCGAAACCATTTTCTCTCTACCAAAACGCTGGAAAATTTCACAGAAGGAATTGAATGAAATTACTGTAGGTCAACTCAAACGACGCCTGAGGCCACGAATGTATTGAATACACCATCACTGCACGACGGCTGGCACTAACTTGCGGACAAAGTGTGCAGCACAGGTTCTCATCTCGTAGCATGCCTCGCCAAAGTGACTCAAGAGCCCCGGACTTTCCTTACAGTCTTACAGCAAGTTCTGCTGTATCTTCAGAGTTCCCCCTGCAAAGCCTGGCTGGGGGTCTATGCTTCGCCATGTGTTCTCTTGCCTTTGGCATTGGGGCACAGACAAGAACTTGAAGTGCGGAAATGAGGGTGTGCGCAGAGTGTCAGAGCTGCTCGGAAGCGTGCGGAATAAGAGTTTTGTTGCTAAGAAAGAGAGGGTGCGCGTGTAGCATGTTTTGTATGTCAGCTTTGGGGTCACCTCTTGTTAGACTACAGCTGCTGTGCTGTAAGCGCATGGGGCACAGGCCCATCGTGGAGACATGCACCCCTTGAAGTTATTCCAAAGGGGGGGACGCGGAGATTGATCACCTCCGTGTACCTGCTACTGGCTGTGGCGTTTTGTAACTGCAGTTGTGGCAGTGAGACTTACTTGTTCCCAAAGAGCTTTTATGCCTTTGCAACCCCAGTCGATTTGTGCCTTGGCCTCCTGGCTTCGAAGTGTCGCTCGCCTTAGCTCAGCCAACTCGTGCGGCCGAATCTTGGCAAGGGAACGCCTTGCAAAAGCCAAGGGTCCTCACTGGTAGCGTTCTTGTTACTAGTAGTCAGGCTAGGAGCCACTAGTATATCAATATAGCTTCTATGCCCTTTGTTCCTAGTAGCTAATTTGCTACTAGTAGAAATGCCCTTGTTCCTAGTAGCGGTAGAAGTGAAACTCTTCTGGCTTGTTCGGGTGGAAAAGAACAATGCCCATTTTCACGTTGGGGCATGAGAGCTGGGCGGAGTGTACTTCTTGCAACTGGAACAGAAGAACTTTCCCTGAACGAGCGGACAGTAGATGATTTCATCCTGGGATCATCCTTGGCCAGGCCGAGTAGGCTGGTAGTGAATCTAGTGGTTAAGCTATTTTTGCTGGAAACGGGTGCGTTCAACAGTAAGTGGTTAGTCTCCCAACATGGTTGCCACTTCTATCCGCAGAAACCAGTGACACAGCACCATGCAGGAAACCCTTCAGTTCCAAACTGAGATTGTCGAGGTTGCTTCCACTTTTCTGTTTCAAACGTCTTCGTTCCAGGGCGTTTGGAACTCCTGCGAAGTCTTACACGCGTCCAGCATTGCCAGGACCGGATCTACTTCACCCACTTTAGGAAGAAGACCGGCGATCAGCCGAAACTGTACATCTGGGCTTGGAACTTATATCTTTTATGGATGATCGACTCCGTAACGCGTTGGGTATGGATGGTACGGTGTTTTGGCATTGGAATGTTCAAAACTGTCAAATCCACAGGTGTACTGTCTTCTTCATGACTCCTTGTAGCAATGGGTAACCAGGCGATAATCTATTTGTGGGCCATAGTGGTGATTAGAGAGATGGAACCGGGAAAAATCAGTTGGTTGCTTGAAATGGATTCGTTCGAGAACATATACATGTATATATACTTGTTATCTCAAAGACACCCCTCCATGCAACAGTTGAAACGGTGATAGACCAGCAGTAGTGTTCGTTTGCTGGTCCATCGGCCTGCACCGGCTGCTCGAAACGCTCGGACTGCTCCGAGTCCAGCGATGTGGATTTCGCCTACATGGATGCCGAGGGCAGGAATTGGGGAAGGCAAAACTATGGTACCGGGTGACTGGATCGAAGGAGTTGGGAACATCGGTTTTGGAAGTCCAGCTCCGATAGATCTTCTATATGTCCCAAGTGTTTGACAAATTTGAGGCAACATGTGTGGGCGACCAAGTGCAGCATATTTGATGACCTGAACAGGGACAGCTTGGGAAATTGAGAACCAGATTTGACCCCATAGAAATCATAGGAACCATTAGAAACCTATTCAGAACGCGGGCAAGATTTGAGTCGATTCCCTGGAAAAAGGAAACTGGTATTAAACTTCGAGTGTAACTCGATTGCACGATTTGCCCCATCAGCCCCCTTCCTACTAGCTATTGCCTCCAACCTAGTAGCGATGACTTCCAACCTAGTCGCGATGGCTCCTGACCTGGATTTTGTTCGCTGAATCCTCCTGTTCTGACCTCCAAGTCACTTAGACATCTTAGACCTATGACATCGTTCGCATGGGGCGCCCCCTGCGTGCGTGCAGTCCGATCACCATGGTAGCGTTGGGAAACAAGCTTGCTCCTCAGATCGGCCTTGCAATGCAGAAATTAGTTGCCGAAACAAGACGGGTAAGGGCAGTTCAATGCGCAGTTCAAGGCCGATAGGCTTTTACATGCCTCTACCAAAATCGACTTAGCGGGTTGAGTTCTATCGTCATGAGCCATACAGCTGACACCGCCACCCGAACGCCCGAAACGATGCCTTTCGCCCGAACGCGCTGAGGTTTCTTGTCTCTCACAAGTTCATTTTCGTCGCAAAAGCCGGACACCGAGATCGCCAGCGAAAGCCTTCCGTTGCGCGTGGCCTGCCTGGCTGGTGAGTAAAGGACTTGGAGCAAACAAAGATTGTAGGCCTGCCTGGCGACTTCAGTGCACAATCCATACAGCGGGCCATTCCTGTCGTTGAAAGACTAGTTCTACAATGTTCTATAGATATATAATTGTTGGACAACTTTCATGGATTCAGAGATGATGATGGGCAATGTTTAAAGCAATATCTTAGAATGCCGGCTCACATCGGCTCACCATTATTGCTCATCCTCTGAAAATCATCTCTTTATCCCAACACTGGATGTGTAGCATCTGCTCTGAAACAGGTCCAGATCGCCAGGGAATCGCCAAGAGCTGTGGAGGTTGTGTAGTTATGGTGTTCATATCATAGGGGAGTGTTTGACAACCAGTAGGTCCCAAATCCCATAGTTTGGCAAGACTGGAAGTTTACTGGTCCCGGAGGCAGAACCTGTGGGTGCCATACTGTATGGACCAAACTTGTTCACTGCTCAGACATCCGCTTTGCACGGAAGGTGAAAGATGTTGCAGCGCAGACGGTGATGTTGATGGTCAGTGCTGATGGGGGCCGGACCTTCAACTCGGCGCAGGCTTGCTCGGACACGCACCCCATTGAGGTTTGTTGGGGTTCGTTCGGTTCGTTTGTGGACACGACTGGAGTGCTATGTTGGATTTGTGGGGTGAATTTTACATGTGGATGTCAGATTCAGATGTTGCGTGACTTGTGGCGGTTCCTCAAAAATCCTCAACACAGAGCTTCCTGTGCGTGCGGTTTCGATCTTTTTGCTCGATGGAACTTGTTTCATTTTGTTTCGGTTTTGGCAGTTCATGTTCTACTCGAGTGTTGAATCGGTTGAATCTTCTATTCTGATAATTACTCGTGACAAGTTCAAACCTGGCCATTTTTGCCAAGGGCCTTGAAAACCACGTCACCCTACATGCCTAGTCACCCTCTGTTATTGCAACTCTCATGGCCCTCCAAGAACCATCTCTTCCACGCCCCATGCGTCGCATCCATCTCCGTCAGCTGCCCACGGAAATCGATGAGAAGTCCTACACGGTGCTTGACACCTCCGAGGGATTGGTGATGCTCCACGTGAACCACGGTGCCAAGGAGGCGTCGAGATGTAGCCGAGACGCTGTTTGGACTCAGCTAGGTTTCTACAGCCGGCCATCCATGGAGAAAAGACATGGAGGTGCTGATTGTAGCTGTTATAGAAGTTGGGAACGGCTTGATTTAATTGTAGGATTTGGATGGATTTGGAATAAAGTAATGTTCAGCAACTACTGTGCGTTCAGCAACTAGGTTTCAGCAAACATTTTGCCCGTAGGATTTGATGGGTGAGAAAGACATATAGTCGCGATGGCCCACTCGTTTGTAATCAATCCCGTGACCATTTGCACTATGAAATGGGTAACCTCGAGGCCCATATTGGTTTGGGGGCATGTCCGAGCATTTTGTAGAGACCCATTTTGTAGTGGAAATGGGTGATTTGGAGGTTTGGAAGGCATTTTGTAGGACAGGAGTTCTGAACTCAAGTAAGCACCCATTCTATATTATAGTAAATTCCATTGGTTTTGACTTTTGACATGCTTCAAATGCTGTGGTTTGGGCCCCAATTTCCAAAGGGAAATTGTACACATTATCTATCTTCTTTTTTGATAGTAGGCATTTGGGTGCAAAAGCTTCCTATCTAGCCAGTTCTGCAAATCATGTTCAGATATTTTCACTAAATAATGTCTGGAAACACAACTCCTGACAAACTCCCATGGACTGTTTGGTGGGTCCCTGGACGTCTAACTTGTTTGCCCAGACTTTGCCAGTTTTTCGGTAATCTCCTTTTTGGAACCTTGCCCAAGCACAGCAACCAAAGATCCAGAAAGCCAAAGAACAGCTACGATTTACAAGCTCCTGGAGGCCACCGCCTTCAGATGAACAAAAACGTGTTTCAAAGGACACCTTTTAAAAGCTGGAGATGATAAAATCTTTGGGATGGAAAAGTGTAGGTATTTATCATGACTTGTGCTGAGGTACGGACCCCATTGTGTAGTATAACATATCATTCATTTTGTCCGGGACATGGGTCTTTCATGCGCATTTTGTAGAGACCTGGAGGACCATGTACACACATCCAGTAGAGAATACAAGTTTCACAACTACAAAATGGAACGACATGACCTCACCATGGAAATGCACGCCGGGATATAAATCAGAAGATGTCAGGATAAGGCATTGCATACTCGATGCAAGATTGACGATTCCAAACCATGACACCTTCAGTTCTAGCAGCGGCAACATTGGAACTGAGAAGTGAACGGAGGAACATCTACAAAGCTGTGACAAGAGTGTAAGCCAGTGTAAGCCTTGTAAGCCTTTTTGTAGGGGGGAGAGAAGTTTCTGTTGGCCAAAAACACGCAGGCGCGAGTGGGCAACGTGTACATCTCCGATGACAAGGGCATCGACCTCAGAAGGGCAAGACATGAAAAGTCATTACCCAAGAGGCGTCGAATGGAAGCCCCTGTCGGACCATCGTGACGACCTCCTGTTATAGTCCAGCTGGAACGCCCTGGGGGCAAACACGGCGCTGTGTTCCTGCAGCGGAAAGAACACATCAATGACGGGCTTGGTGAAGATACAGTGTGAAAACACACAAACACAGTGACACAGCGTTTGCCGAGGTTCTTCTACAGCAATATGATGCAATATGTTTTCACGTTCCATGTGTAGCTACTCATCTGCCGTGATCGGCACCGCCATCACGGAAAGCTCCGCACGCTGAGGCTACCGATTCACCCTCTCGCTCCCCAACAACGTGCGGGGCACCAATGGTGACTGCGAGTTTGACAAGGTGCGATATGGCTGGGGATTTGGTGTAGAATTCGATTCAAAGCAATATGTTCAACCATGTTCAACCCCTGAGCTAAGTAGAAACCGAGGAAGGCCAAGGATTCTCGACCCTTCCATGACTGCCTCAAGATGGATGCCCTCGGAATCCACCGAATTCGTCGGACTTGGTCCGACCGAAAGCCCAGCTACAGGTCCTCAGCCTTGAGGGTGTGTACATGGCCAACTACAAGGCCGCGGGCGTGCACGGGCCCGTGGGGTTCACGGGAAGAAACAACGGGCGGACGGTCACGGAAAACATCCCAGCGGCTGGAGATCCGGCGTTCCAGTCCTGATTTGAATGACAAGGGTGGCCCAAGTCGAAAGTGGTGCCTTGTTTTTTGATGTTTTTGGTGTTTTTTCCAATGTTTTTTCATGTCTTTCCTCTCGCCCGCTGCGTGACGACGCGTTGATGGGTTCTTCTTCTTCTTACCGTCGCCGAGGAGACGAAGAGCTCTGACACCAGCGGAGGTGTGGATGACAAGACCAAGGCGACGCTTTCGGTGCGGGGCGACACCGGTGGACCGGTGGACATCGGGAACCGACTGGAGGTATTGGATGGTATTGGTTGTTTGATGTTGTTTGTTTCACGCAATGGTCTTGGAGATCCATGGAGATCCTAGATTCTAGGATGTTTGCTTGCAGGGCTGTATCTTGATCTCCATGTGTATCCAGTTCCTTTCCGACATTGGTAACATGGTGTTGTTTTGCAACAGCAGCAACAACAACATGTCAACTGCATGTCCAGACAAGTGACAAGACTAGGGACAGCCAAAACCACCAAGTCCAGAGGAAAAGATCCAAAACGATCCATAATCCCAAAGTGGAAGACGCATTCTTTCAGGAGAATTTATTGATCTCATTTTATGACTGAGACGTGAACAAAGATTCCATGTCCATCATTTGTTTTCATCTCTTTTCATCCGACCACCGGAGCTCGACTACCGGAGCTCGACTCACAGGAGGCGGCGGCAGAGAGCGATGCCTTAGAAGAGGAGGCCAAAGCCGGCACCGAGGCGGAAGGGCGGAGCTTCCGCCGAAAACGGGCGAGCGCAGACGACTGTCCAGCATCCTTTTGGAAGGGTGTTCAATAAACAGTGGTATTTACCGGTATTTACTGTGTTTTAGAGCTCCTATTGCAAAACGATGCAAAACGTCTTGTAAATAAATACCATGGGTTTTAGCTTGCCGAAGTTGGAGTTTGGGGTTTGGGTGTCGTGGAAAATCACTTCAACAGGGGATAGGGGTGTTGGCACACTCACAGTGAATTTGTATTTTATTTGGGAACTGCAGAGATGATTTCATGTACACTGAAAGATTGCAAGCAGCCCGTGCTCTTTTATTTGTGAGATGTGAGCACAGAGTGATAAAGGCGTTTTCGGGTTTTCCTGATCCCTTGGAGTCAAACTGGGGTTCTGAGCTCTCCAAACTCGGTCATCGCATCCTGTCTCCATGGTCCACAGGATGGACTCTTTGATGTTTTGCAGTCCACAACCCGAAGTAACTTTTGAGTGAATGAAGAATGCTCAGGATAAATGACGTGATTCAGCACTATCTGTTTTACGTGCTTGCACAGCGGCTGCGTCAGCAAAAGCATTACCTTGAAGGTCAAGTTTATGAATTTCATCCTTTGTGTCTTTGAGATCGTGATGGGACTTTACTTTTCTCTAGATAAACTTATTGGGAATCCAGTGATCTCGAACGAGAAGAGACACAAGCCTACATGAGCCATTGATTGGCGGAGTGGAATATGAGGCGAATCTGTGACACGTGTGATTGTATCGATGGCATACTGTGAATCTGTTGTGATTGTAATTTGGGCGCGAATATTGGCACGGGAACTTTCCTGAATAGTCCAAGTAATGGCAGCAAGTTCGGCTCGTGAAATGGTTTGGCGGCCATGAGCATGTTGGGTTTGCATAGCACAAAAGGACTTGCAATGTTATCAGGGTCATAGCCTACTTCTGCCCATACTGCTCGACTGGTTTCTGAAAGTGTTGGGTTGTCAGCTGACCCATCTGTAAAGTACATGGCGTGGTTGACCTACCGACGTCAGGTCAAGCTAATTACAAGGGGTTGGGGCTCCAGGGTTTGATCCCCCCCAAAAAAGAGGGTTAATTTTTGATATAATTGGAGGTTCAGCCAGATGTGCCGAGCTCCATGTTGAACGTCGGCTGGTCTTTTGCGTCGGTGCACAGGTGGACAAGCGTCGAGCGCCTAAGTCCAAAGCCAAGGAGGAGAGCGTCGCTGGAAGCCCAGCCGCTGGTCGTGTTGACAAATGCAAACAATCAGATGATTTGAGGGCGGGCCTTAGGATAGGTTGAGGTTCTTGGTCTGAAACCCATGTGAACCCACTTGACTGAGTGGGGCTGAAAATATGGGTGGAGGCCATCGCCATTAGGTTGAAGGCCATCGCCAGTAGGGTGGAGGCCGAGGCCATTCCAATTAGAAACAAAGCAAAAAGAAAAGGAAGAAAGGTCTAGGAAGAAAGGTCTATGAGTAGCGAACATTGTTTCTAATAGCAAACATTGTTACTACTAGTAAGGCACCTGTTACTACTAGCGAGGCACTTGTTACTAGTAGCGAGGCGGGTTGGTCAGATCCGGCGGGGGACCGAGATCCGAACGGTGATCTCCTTCGACAAGGGCGGAGCATGGTCCAGGGCTCAGAGCTTTCGCAAACCGGTGGGCCGGGTGAGCGTATCGGTCGGAGACACGTGTGACACATGTGGATGGTTAATCCCTAGATGGCGCTCAGTGCAATATGAGGTTGCACGAAGAGTTGGACGGCTTTTGGTGAGGTTTGAGAGTTGTCTTTGGGAAAAGAGAGCTCGAATCAGCTTCGTTTGGATGACTTGAAATATCTTGAACCATGAAATCTCCATGCATCGGCAAGATGCCCACCCTGCACCACGACAGACTTCGGATGAGATCCGACACGTATCGATACTTTTCGACCTCGAAGCACCATAAGGTCTTATCTCAAGCCTCCGCGGGTGGACTCCACCGGCAAGCAGATTGAATGCCCGGTGGACAAGTGCTGGCTTCATTTGCCCCCCTTGGCCTGGTTTGGAGTTGAATTGAAGCGGAAAGTGGGGACTGGTTGGGACTTGCAGAGCGGACAATTGTTGGACACATGTTTGTTCTTTTTTGTGTCTTCACCAAAGGACGACATGAGCACTTGAAAGATTCTTGAGCCAGGCATGGAATTACAAACTTCCACAACTACGCGTCCTAACCTGAGATCTTGGGACCTGACAAGCTGTGTACATGACTGTCGGAATGTTAGAAAATAAACACATACCTTTATATAATATATATATATATATTATTTACACTACATAACAAAAAGTATAACACAATTAGACTTAGACATAATTGTACCATCCTAATCCCTCGCACCTATGAACATTATGGACCAGACCTCAGTCTTCCAAAAGCGGAGAGCAATCCGATGCTTGGTGATTTTCGGGTTCTAGAGGCGTCGCCAGAAGTCAATGTAGCACTCCGAAAGCTTTCAGGACGGTTAAGTTAGTCACGCCACTGGCTATGGGTGGCGCGGGGTCAGGCCGTTTTACTCCACGGAGAATGCCATTGGGATCATCATGGGTCGCATCCTCAGCTGTGTTGCAGATGTTTCTAATAGCTTCTTGTTACTACTAGTAAGGCACTTGTTACTAGTAGCGATGCACTTGTTTCTAATAGCTTCTTGTTACTAATGATGTTTGAAGGACCGATCCTGCACGTCATTCGGCGTCACAAGATTTGGCTGTTTCTAACACCACACGTGCACAATCACACACAACCCGTGCTGTTCAGCGTCAAATGATGTCAAATGTATATTTTTGTTTATTTTTTGTCATGGCGTATCATCATCTTGGAATTAATCCAAGTTGATGATCAGTGAGTCGTGAGCTCATCATGTCAAGAGCCTCAAGGGAACAGCTGAACGGACCAACGCATTGTACCATCGTCCATATCTTAGAACTGCTACACAGTTTGCCTTAGCTCCCTCTAACCACGTTGAGCCAGCAAAGTTCACACGGGTTGATGTCAGAAACACTTTCTGATCAACAATTATATAATCAAAATTAATTGATCATAATTGCTTCCTCCTCGTCTTCAACCTCTGATGCTTCATCGGATGATTCTTGATGTTGGCACTAAGGAAAAAGTTGAGTGCATGCAGAAAGCACTATGTTGCGGTTGTGTTGCAGAAAGTGTGCCCATATCTGCTTGCGGAAGCTCAGCGTAAACACTTCATGTCCCTTGCAATCCGCATAAGCTTAAAGGTGAGTCACGTAGCGCAAGCGCATGCATGCGTAAGCACCTCCATACGACCGTTCGCTTCTCTTTTTCTAATGATCAGCTCACAATCAAAGCTAGCAGCTAGAGAGTGCCGATATGTTCCACAAGTCCGTTCCCATTGGAGGTCAACCATTCTTTGTTGGGTCCTGAAGCAGGATCCAGCATCGTTTCATCATATTTCACCAATGGAGGTCGAATGTTTCATTTCCCATTCGTTTCCGTTTTCCTATTTCCGGTGCCCTTTTTGGGACATTTTCCTGTTTCAACCCGAAGAGCCTTTTTAAACACATCGGTCGCCGTGTCTTGGAGGCACCGGCAATGTAGGCACCTCCCTTCGCTTCGAGCCTGACCAGGTCGGTGAATAGCAAAGACTTATTATGAAGTAATTAGATTTAAGGAGGGTGCGTTTTAAGCTTTGTAGCTCAGGGAGTGCATGAGTTGATGCTTTTTTGGGGGTTCGCCGGAGTTCGCCCTGTTTTTGATGCTTTTTGAGTTGTTGGACGCTAACATCCTGTTTTGGTCCTCCCGGCTTTCGTCGCAGACCAACACCTACCTCTCCCGGAACGGCGGGCTCACGTGGATCGAAGCTCATAAAGGCGAGAGCTGGGCCAAGGAGCTAAGAGCGGCCTCCAACCTAGCGATGGCATATGGTTGGACTCTATGATTGGACTCTATTGTAAGAGGCTTCAGATTGTAGATAAATCATGATAAATCTATTTCTCATCCAGTGATACAGGGTCAACAAGCATGGTTTAACGACAAGCAACGTTCTCTTGCTTTTTTCCTTTCGCGCTTACTGGATCCTTAGGATCCTTGGTCGAGCAGTCATGCAAAGAAAGGCCAGCAGGTCATCCATGGTAATCGGGCTGCACTTCACCCGGATCCTGCATGGCCTCCGTGCTGATGTACTGATACAGCACATCAGGCAGCCTGTGCAGGGCCTTCTCAGGCCGCAAACGGTGGACGAATGCATGGAAGGCCGCAGCAATGGCACGATTGAGCAGTGGAGGATACACTTTCGCCTTGGCGGTGCGAAAAGTGCCGTTGTGCATGCCCGAAAGGCCGGCATGGGCACCAGGCCCATGTGGGCACCTACCTCCACACCCCATTTGCAAGACAAGCACCCTAAAGTGCGGCAGCCTGGCAATAAGAAAAGTCGTCGGTTTCAAAGCTGGTGCTTCGAAGATGCATTGATCAAAAGATACTGCTGCAACTGCGCTGAGCGACGCTAGTGCTTTGATCATGGGCAGCCTCCAAATGGAGGGACACGGCGTATGATAAAGCCATGTCGGCGTTTGAGGGTGCTCGATGAATCCACATCCTCCAAGCCCAACACACAGCATTATTAGCTCGACAGCGACTTGCAAAAGCCCTGTACCGACTTGAACCTGACGATGGTGCTTACGAGATAACCACGGGAGCCCCCATGGATGAGCTCGATCTCGCAATGGAGGGGGGCCCCCCCCTAACCATCGTGCTGCCGTCCAGGTCTTGCACGGGGGGCCCCCCCCGATACCCATGACCTGTCTGGCATGGATCCTTTCCTTCCACCACTGGATCCTTTTCGGGTCGAGCAGATCCCCTTCCTCTTTCTGCAGGCATAAATCAATGCTCAAACAAAAGCACTCGATTCCATGTGCCCAGTCATGGTGCTCGATGTGCCAGTGCAAATCTCCTGGCCTACGAAAGCCGGAGAACAGATGCACGAAAACCACTGAGATCACCGAGACCCGTGCATCCCAAACAGACACAGAGTCTAAGCGATATATGCCTAAAGGTCCTTCATTCGTGCCCATGGTCTGGTGAAACACATGATCAGACTCTTTTGGCTTCTCGGCTTCCACAGTAGAGCCGCAACGTTCTCTTGCTAAACAAAAAGCAACTCAGAGGTTGAAGCAAACCAAATCAACAGGTCTTGGATCCGATTTGGGGGCTTGTTCCATCCTTGTGGACGACGCCTGTGAGGACGACGACGGTTTTTTTAAAGCTAAGGTTCTTCATGGCTTCCCTCATGCCTTCCCTTGTTCAAGATGTCTTATTGTTCTACTCTCCTTTCGATTAGGCCTCCCAAAAGGGCTGCTGATATTCTTGGGTCGCAGGGATGCGGAAAGGATACGGTGCACAAAAGGAGAGCAGATGACTCTAAAGAAGAACAATGAAGAAGGGCCTCATTGAAAGGCTGCTTTCCTGTATAAACAGATGCTAACAGGGGCTTGGGTTGAGATTCGGCCTTAGCAGATTGGAATTAACTCAGGCTTATTGGAGGTGCATTATGCCCCTAAACTCACGCGATTTCACGTTTTTGACTACTGTCGCGGGGTTTGGTGAATGCTTCTTTTGACCAGGTTGGCAGGGGTGCGCCCTACACATTCCTGAGACCCCATTGTTTTAGAGTTATATATCCTTCCAGCCCCTCCAAGCCACCCTCCACAGTTCCAGGGAGGGAGGAGACTCCAACCATGAATTGTGAGTCCGGTTTCACATCGTGAGCAATGCTTTTTTGAGCCGCTTTGAGCCTTTCGTCAGGTGCTTTCATCTATGAGTATGGAGACCATGGTGGCCTCGTTGTCATGGCAGATGATGTTCGAAAAACCAAGCTTGTTTGGGAAGCCCAGCAGTAATTGGTGCGTCTCTGTGCACCGAGCTCCTTGAAGTTCTTGGAGCAGCACAACGGAAGGAACCGAAAGGAAACCTTAAGATATCATGTTTGGACTTTTTTGGTGCAATCATTACTGTGACTTTGCCGGGCCATAGCTTTGGCGCCTGCTGGGCCTCCATATGCTTTGGCGCAAACTCGGTCCTGAGGTGGTCTTCTCTTGGAATGAAGGCCAGAGCTGGTACGACTTCGAACTCTCTAGCATGCCCGTGGAGGTGCCGACGGGAGCGGACGGGCGCAAAAGGGCCATTGAGCTGGTGCGAGCGGTGTTCCCAAATGGCAAGACGTTCAACGGAGCACTTAAGAGCAAAAGCAGCTTTACAGTCAGTCAGAGCCCAAAAATGCATGCTTCATGCTGTGGTGCAGATGAGTCGTGAGACAAACCACCATTGACACAGTTCACAAAAGAACCAAGTGGGTACCATGTGGAGCCGCAACCATTCAAGTTCTGTCCTCTTTTGTCAAACCATGGCATGAAACAGGCAAGTCCTCTGCTTCTGTTTCACCTCTCTGGCAGGTGGATAATATCGTCACGGAGCCCAACGCGACTTCCACGAAGTTCCTCCTCTACGGGACTCGGGGAGACACCGAAGCTCGGCCGAAGTGGAAGAAGTCCTCTCAGCCGAAGGGGCGAAGCAGGGGCGGCCCGGAACAAGTTCAAGTTAGATCAAGGATTCAAGAGATGGCGAACTCGTGGTATCTCGTCGTACTGAAGATCAATCAAGCAAGATCCAGCTCAAAAGATGGTTGGGTTCATGTTTGGAGTCGAGTCTGTTTGGAGTCCAGTTGTATGCTTGGATCATCTTGGATCCTTGACTGGGCCAGGGAACCCAGGAGGAGATTCCTCATGACGTATCATGACTCATCATGACTCATAGAGCTCCAAATGGAAAGGCTTTGAGTAGCATTGAGTAGCTGTAGCTTTCTTTTGTGAATGGATGTTGCTTTATCCAGCATAGAGACTCCTAGAGATAAACCTACTGTGAAAGGCCCAAACGAGTCCCACGTGGTGAAGATTGGAGAACCTGTTCATCATCATCATCATCATCATCATCATCATCATCATCATCATCATCATCA